GGTGCAGAGCAGAGCGTGCAGCTCACCAGCAAATGCAAATAGAGCTCGTACGACTTGCATAAAAAACCGGTAGGTACCCCTCCTTTGCTAACTTGGTGAATTTTATTATTAATCGAAACATTAATATTGCCATCTTGGATAAATGGGAATTCAAGACGTGTTAAAAATGGAATGTAGAGTCAGTAGATTTTTCGAAACTATTACAAATTTATAGCGGAATGATAGTTTTTCTACAAAGATGACAGCGTGAATCTTCGAATGCTGAAGTAGGTAATAGGCAATAGCTACTTGCATAACGATTTATAATATTCAGTTTTTTAAGTAGGTAGATCTTTTGGTCGAATCTAAAATAAAAAAGCAACAACTCGGGCAAGGTAGAGCAGAGCGCGGTTTGGAAGGACAGGTTGTTCGGAGAGGTCCGTGTCGAGATACATGTGGCATCCTCGCGTCCGTGATTGAATCGGACTGATACCTTTGCATGGGTGGGTAATCATCAACACAAGGGAAATGAGCGCCGTTGGCTTGGCATCGCCTGTGGACACATCATACGTGCTTCTGAGTGCGTGCCCGCACACATTCTCGCTTTTACATGTCGATAACGTAGGTAGGTACAAGTTTTTGTCGGTGTGCGTAGATAATTTATCGGCGAGCGCCGCTTGGCCGTTGTGACTCGGCTGGTGAGGTGGGTCGCACTTTATATGGAGAGTTGTCTAATCCACTGAATAAATTACCACTGGACCTAGGTTTCTCCTGAATGACTAATAGACGTATAAAGAATTAGCTCAATGTCCGCAATGCCTAGGTGGTAGAGACGCTTTCTAGAATAGTGTGCAGGTAATGCAGTAGCCGCTTGAATGTGAAATCTACGGTACTTACTCATATTAAATAGTAAGAAAAGAAAACAAATACTTGCCTAAATAAGTATAGTAGCTCTATCTTATCTCAGAAACATTAACAACTTGTATTATACGAACGAATCAGTTTCAAAGACCTAGCGCATGTAATCGCTGCTGATATTTGGGTATGCCAGATTTAGATCTACAGTCCACCAGTAATTAAATATTATAACGATTGATATTTGTAAGAGTATCGTATCGCTAGCTCATATCTCAGAGTATTTATTAACTGGCGAAGATGACGAATCCAGTGTGGTAGTGTGGTGTAAATGTGAAGTGATAAGTGAACCAGTCGCATTTGAGTGCGTAGCGTCCGGGCCGGCTGCTCGAGGCAGCGAGCATGCGCGATCACAAAGAAAGTGGCGCCTGCACCGGCTCGTCATACTGCATAACTGCAACATGGCGCCTCATTTGCGCGTTATGTGCGCAACTGGCCATGAATTACAAACAATGGACATTTTATGAAAGCACTGAACATGTAGATGTTGGATAAAAAGTTTCCAGTATGTGCTCAGATTATAATATTTGTTTAAATAAATTGCTCATGCTCTACATTTTAAGTGTATTGAAACACTGACTACTGACCGTTTGACCCACTTGTATTGTGACGTATGATTTACGAGTCATTGCACTTATAATTTGCTTGTTAATAAAGGGCTATTAACTCAAATGAACTAAAAACTCAATTAGGTGTTATCTATCTCGAAAATGAAGAAACTAACGTAGATTTGTGTACCTACACTATGATACACTGCCTAACTAATTCTACCTTATGTTTTACCGAGTCGACTGCCTTTACGAATTAAGGGCAGCGATTACTACATAAGGGCATTCTTAAAGGCCTATTAAGTTCAGAGACACGCAGCCAGCGGACCGTTGAAGGTTGGAGAGCTCAAGTTACTCCGCCACACGTCAATAAAGACAATACAAACGGGGTTATGGATGATATTTACTAACATTATTTAAATAGATTGTAGATTATTATCAATTTTATGATATAAACCAGCCTTTGTCTGTAGCTCGGACACCCGCTTGAGGATGTAGTTTTGTTGCATCAACTTCAAACAGTATGTAGAGTCACGCATTTTTGTCGAATGAAATAAATCATTCAGTTTTTTTCGCTGTGTTTAGTTTTTGTTTGAGGTTTTTTAAAGTCGTTTTTTAAGAGTTTCATAAGCCTTCAGTTTGAAAACCTCGCCGATGGTTGACAAAAAGCTAAACAATACAAGTTTTTGCAATTACATAAAATAAACTTTCAAAGTTGGCACCATCTGCGAAAAGCCAAATAGGTTCCCAATGTTCTCATCTCAGCATTAGTCAAGACGTTATCAAGAAGGAGTTACATTATGTTGAAAATTATTTTCAGGAAAACCGAGGATTAATTAATAGCACGGAAGTAATGAATGGTGATATAAAATCAAACGGCATCACATCACATTTCAGAAATTAATGCTTCATACAATACATATGAAAATAACCTGAAATTAAATATTATGTGATGGAATGATGATGGTTGATAGTGGTTTACCGGTAGCCGTTAAAAATATTTGTGTATGTATTCTGTTATGGAAGTGGATTTTGAAGTATTACTTAATGTTTTAGCTAAAAAGGCGGTTGATACATTGCATCACTGCGCAGTTATGCGCACTATGCACGGTTGTAGGGATAAGGGCTCCCGCGCTCGCGCTGGGTGAGCGTCAAGGTGAGCGGGCACGGCAGCGCCGGCGAGTCTGCTGGGTCGCCCCTCTGCCCGCGCCCCACCACATACCTCCGTGTGCTTTACGCTTGAATCACTCGCACTTCTTCATTAAAAATATAAAATCATAACTAACTAATAAGAAATGTAGAACATCCGAAACATTCCGATGCTGCTCAAGCAGCAGAAGAAAGCGATCTGTTAACACGAATGATGCGTAACGACGTCTGCTTTATTAAAACTTCGAGGTGCATGTAGCAGAAAATCAATTGTATAGAACCGCTAGCGCAAAGTAAAAATTAACATAAGTAAGTAGTTTAGAATGCATTGCAATGGCATGAGGAAGTTTGCTCGTGTAAAGTAATTAAAAACAGTTATTTAACAATTGTTTTAGCAGGCTCTACATTTTAAACATCCAATTTAATCCCCCATTTAGCTCAATTAAAACAGCTCTCTTTCTGAAAACCTAACCCTCTTTTTAAATGCGAACCTATTTAGAATTTTCAATACCACACGGCACGGGTATCACAGATTCTGAATCACTATATTTATCATTCGTTTTCGTTCCAGTGAATTCATTCGTTAGTGTATTGTATTGATTAAACTATCGCACATAAATTGCGTTTCAACAAAAGCATAAACCGTGTAACTGTGAATAAAGTCTAGAAAATTGCTTAGCTAAGTTGTCGATAAATATACGAGTGGATTTTCGAGTGGTTTGCACATAAGCCTCCTGACACTGCCCACGCAGCCAATCGTCCTACGCGCGCGGCCAAGCTTCGTTCACAATCTTGTGTATACGCATTATACATACTTAATGATTAATCGTGATCCATGCTAGAGCCTGCCTACACATATTTATTTCACCTTCATAACTCATCGCACAACAAACCCTATTCATAGAGGCTATAGCTCATATTGCAGCACTATAGCTGTCACTCATCCTAAGCAGGTGTTGTTTGAATGATCTATCATATTCACAGATGCTTTCCTACTGAATAACATCACATAAATATGCATGACAATGATTGCTAAATACGTACATGGTTGCTATTTAAGTTAAATAAACAGAAGTGAACTTTTCAGATGCCTATTTAGTCGCCAAAAGTATCGCTATTTACATCGAAGGACATAGGTAAATGTAGAGTACTACTTACATGGTACTACAGAAGAGGTTGCGATTAATATAAATGTGAAAGTTGGAATTTGTTAAGTATTATTAACTAACCAACTCCGTTGGAATGCCTTATTTGGCACCACGTGCAGTGCCCTGTGAACCGTACGAATATTACGACTACATAAGTTTCTGACTTGTTTGCCGTTTACTTTTTTTTTCTACATTAATTTATGCACATTTCAAGTGGTTTTATAAGGTTTTTATTATATGAACGAATGTAGTTTTTAAAAGGCATGTAGTTTGTGGGAGGTATCTAAAAACTCTATTTCGGAAAAAGGCAATGGTAATAGAGTTGTAAGCAGCGCAGTATTCAAAATTGTATAGAACAGCGGTGGCCAACCGGTCGATCGCGACTATTAGTCCAGTCGATCGTGGCAAGGCAAAAAATACTACATGATTGTGTACTAAACTATGCTGTTTCATTTAAGATTTCAAGAAGTGTGTAAGTGGTAGATCACCCAGGGTTTCGTTAGTAAACAGTAGACCTTTGTCTAATCAAGTTGGCCACCCCTGGTATAGAAACATCAAGTCTAGGCGTAACAATGACCGACTATGTGTTTTTTCCTGTAAACGCAACGTCAGTAATTATTTAAAGTCATAGATACCTACGAACGATTGCTCAACAAAACAGATTATTGCAATAATCACGCAACGTGGCCGGCTCGACCTCTAGTATCGCAAACAGCAGTCAGCAACCGAAATAGCTATTAAAGGATCCAGCGCAGGTTATCGGTACGGGACCATGCGGTCAGGGTGTGAAAACAGGGTTGAAGAAATCGGGTTTCATTTAATAAATAAAATCTTATAAGCTGATGGACAACTTTATACATACAACTTTTACTAACAGAGAAAAACTAAATCGCAGTAATAGAGATCTAGAAATAAATGACCCAGTCGCTGTGCTAGACATAACATGGTCCCTTCAATACGTTGCACGTATTGTAAGTGTGTCTGAAAAATTTATACGGACGGATAAATGTAAGCATGACTAAAATGTCTTATGATGAACCAGCTCTTACATTTATTTACATTGTTTTGTGTTGTTTGTTTCAAACGTACACATACTAAGACTGGTGTTTCAATGACTGCCTTTTACGGTGTGTTTTTCTTAACAAAAGATGGTATGTTGGTAGCCCTATGAATCTCATTACGGTAATTATCTTGCACATCGCGGATGCGCGGACGCCGCCGTCCGTGAGTCACCTGCGCATCGTGATCCAACTCACGTTTGTCGCCACTCGCTTGCACTCGAACCTCGGATGTTTTATTTACCAACACATTTTTTTATTTTATTTAGTTGCTATCCAATAAACAACCTACAACCAATACGGACAGATAATTTTACCTGTAAGTATGGCAATTGCGTATTTTCAGCTATTAAGTCTGTCGCCGTTAGATCCCAAAATATGGAAACAGAGGTAACAAACGGTGGAGAATACTACTACTCTACTCTATAATTGCTGATCTGTTTCTTTGCAATACTATTTACGGATTGCTGACTGGACTGGCCAACCATTTGATCACGCAAAGCATCAAATTAAAAAAGTTAGTAACAAGTAGTAAGCTACACCACTTTATGTTGCTTATTTAATCAAACGATAAGGAAGTCAGTGATGTGCGTAATTCATTTTGACTAAAACATGCAAGTCTGGATACTGGCAACATGTATTGCTTTCAATATTATCATCAGTGAGTAACAAAAACACATGATTGTTTTTTAAAGTTACCCATGTTATTTCATGTGAATAATTAATGAAGATCCGATCATTTGAATGTTAATAGATTTTTCTTTGCAATTTAATAATCCAAACTACTGGTTGCTAACCGACAGGTCCGTCAATTGCTTTAGATTATACTGAAGGTTCAAGACTTGTTTACAAAAGAAATCCAGCTCCTGATGGACACAGGTAAGGAATATAGGTATAATAGAGAAAATATAATTTTGTTTTAGTAATTTGTAAATACAAACAATACAAGCTACATAGTATGCTTGTGTTACGAGTGGGTTCACCACAATAGTCCAGTGGTGCAGCGCGGATCGAACCTGCGTTCCTTGGATCCGACCCGACACATTACCATTGGGCTATTGTCGCTTAATTTCGCACTGGTGGTTCAAAGTATACTTAACTTAAACAAAGTTTGTTGCTATCGATTACAGATGTGGTGTATGTCCAACGTATTTCCAGAAAATCTGCGCTTTCAATTATAGAACCAACGCAACGTTTATTTTTGATAACCACTGCGTTATGGACCTATACAACTGTATCCAAGGAACGGGTATGTTTCACATGTGGATTCTTGCAGCATTTATTTATCTTCCAGTTTTTAGCGGTAATTTTAATTACAAATGGCCATACAGGAAAGAGGAATAACACTGGTCAACAAAAAATCAAAATTAAAATGGTGCCGAGATTCTGTTGATAGTTTATTATTAGGTGTGTATTAGTAATAATAAAAATAATTTTATTTTTTTTTTCCTACGTGTAGTTTTTGATCTACCCTCAGTTTTAAATTTTAGCTTTAATCGGTACTTTGGTTGCACAGTTTGTAATGTTATCGGTATATTTTTATAACGAAATTTATTTTAATATCATGTCTGCATTGCCAAGAAGTTGCCTCAACGATCCAAATGTAATTTATTACATTTGTGATGTGTACACAGTTAAGAATTTCAAAAATTTAGGCAAAATTTTAATAAAAAGTGCTTATTTTTCTTACTTTAAGTCGGAAATTGTGGTTGTATTCAAGCCGTGGATACCCGAAATTGTTTGTATAATCTGCTGTGAACACTGAGGCAATGTTTCAATGGTCAAAGAAGCCATAACATGAAGTTCAGAGTGGAAAAAGTGAGGAAAAAACAAAAAAAAACCTGGTTTGAGCATAAAAAAAGGTTAAAGCAGAAAATTTTTGATGGCCCACAAATAAGAATATTAATAAAAGATACTGATTTCTTAAGTTTGATGGACGTTTGGAACGATTTACGTGGACTTATTTCGTTGAAGTTACTAAAATTTTTTTCGGATATCACAGGACTAATAACTACTATGAAATTGTGAGACATGCCCTAAAAACTCAGGATGTAATAATTTTCATCAAAGGGCACTACCTCCACAGTCATCTTGACCAATTCCCAGAGAATCTTGGGTCACTATAGCATGCTATAGCTAAGAACAGGGAGAGCGATGCTATCAAGACCTAAAAACCATTGGAAGAGAGGTGCCAAGGCAGATGGGATAGCTATATGATGGCTGATTACTGCTGGAGGATGTAACGTGATAGTTCCATTACACCTCATTCACAAAAGTCGTGGAAAAGAAAGTTTTTAAGCACTTCAAAATATTATAAACGCTGATTTTGGTGAAATTTTGTATTTTTCTATACACGTCAAAATCTAGAAAACCACACGTAGGAAATCAACAAATTTGCTACTAAAGCAACCAGTATAAGGTCCTTAATCAAAAAATATATACAGTTCCTTGGCACCAAAACCACTGTTGACCAGTGTAATCAATCCCATTCACTACAATATGCGAAGGGATTAAATAAAATAGTTTCTAGAGTAAGTACTAAGGTTGATGACTGCAAAAAAAAAAGATTCGACCAGTTCTCATGCTGAAATAATTATTTCGAAATAATTATTTCAGCATGAGCCTTTGTTTCTTCATTTCGTGATACATATTTTTCCGTTTTAATGGATTTTAGATCTTAAAATTCGGAGATAATTGTAATACCTACTGCGTAACTGGAACAAATAGTAATTGATTTTTACCTAATATTTTAGAATTCGTTCCGCTAAAGTATGAACATTGCTTATACTTCGGAAACTTCGCATACGTCCACGGGTATAAATATGAAGACATAGATTATGGAGAAGATCACATAATAGTGAAAAATACGCAGAAGAATCAAGATTTTGTCAGATAACTGTTATATGCACAATATAATAAAAAAGTATTAATTTAAAGATTTCTGTTAAAATAATAAAATTCTTTGTACCTAAGTCTTACCTTACCTACGATATCAAGAAAAAAAGACCTTATCCAAGTAACAACTACTATTCTAATTATAACTGTTTTTAAATAAACTGAATAAAATTTTATTATTTGATAAAAACTAAAGGAGATTGAACTTGTTAATAAGTTAGTGTAAAATCATTTTGCAATGTTCAGTGGGCCGTATTTTTAACACGTTTTGCAGTTAATTGATATACATAATACCGTGTTTTTATTTCACTGGTTACGCTAAAAACAATTCATCCATGAAGTAGTTAGGTATGTCGATCGATACCAAGGTCGATACTCTCCGAGGCATCAGCAAGATACGTAAGGTAACACTCTTCTAAAATTAATCCACGGCAAGTAATAATAACTCTCAAATCATTATAAAGTATTTATTATTTATTCTACCACAGTCATTATCAATAGGCAGTTTTCATGCAAGCATGTAACGGTTTTTAATACTAGTTTTTTACATTTACATGAGCTTATTATTTGAGGAGAATAGGGTATTATTTATTTTTACATTTTATTTCTTACAGAGTTAGTTATTGGCAGCGGTAAACATAATATACTGCCTTGAGTCTATTTAATAATTAACTAATTATTATCAAGTTATAAATGCTTTCAAGTTATTAATTAAACAATGGTTTATTTGATATGTATGTTACGGTCAAAGTGATAAATGTGAAAATTATGAATAATCGCCGGTTATTATGAATAATTACCGCATGATTTGGTAAATGTGCTTAATATGAGGACATTTATGTGTGTATAAAACTAAATAGGCGGCTTAGGGGTGGCCCAAGGCCCCCCCCCGCCGCACCTTAACCTATTTTTCACTTTAAATCAAAACATTATGTTATAGGCATCATGGAAAAGTAATATTATGCAAGAAACATTCCAAACTCANTAAATGTGCTTAATATGAGGACATTTATGTGTGTATAAAACTAAATAGGCGGCTTAGGGGTGGCCCAAGGGCCACCCCCGCCGCACCTTAACCTATTTTTCACTTTAAATCAAAACATTATGTTATAGGCATCATGGAAAAGTAATATTATGCAAGAAACATTCCAAACTCATTATGCCAAATTATATTAATATATGATATCAAAATGTTCAAAAGTTTGGCTGTACACGAACATAAACACAAGATATTGTTCTCTTTTATGAAATTTGTTAGTACTAAGGTTGAATTATTAAATAACAACTGTTAAATGTGATTCATTTATCACTTTTTACCGGGACTGTCGGGAATTATTCATAATAACCGGTTATTATTAATAATTTTCAATTTATCACATTAACCGTAACATGTATTTGTAACATTTCATATCCTTTAGACAACTTAAAATCCGATTGTAGTTAGATAAACAAAGAAAGTTCCAAAACGGAAACATGTTTCATTTTTTTTTATATTTCTTTCACTAAGAAAATGCTACTTATTCTATTCGTAAATGAATGAATATGTCAATTATCCTATTATACTAAAAAGAAACTTAATATTTAATTAGTTATCTATAACTGGCTGATCTAATTATAATCATAATTGATCAATTGAGAGCCAGTGTATTTTAAAGTGATACATAAATCAATGAAAAATTTTTTTGCAACAAATGAAAATCTGACACACAAGTACTTACTTAGTGGGTTTTTGTCAGTCTAAGATAAGTTAGTAATACAGCAACAAATTTAAAGTTTTGTAAAATAATGTTGCTGAATACTTACTTCAAATGCTAAACTTTTTTCATACTTCTAACACAATCTGTTATTTTCTAACATTTAAAGACTTATTTTAATTAAATGGCATAATTTGTCATAAACTTATTATGGTAAGTACTTAAACTTTCATTTCGGAAAGATATACACTAAGTTTATATTTTATAATAATAATGAAGGTAAATTCAGTACAATATTTCTTAGATAATAAATGACTGATAAAAAAAAGTAAGTTGCACTTACTTTAGTCATGCAGTACTAAGGTTGTCTTCATAACACACCTCTGATTGTGATGCGAAGACAGCCTAAGTAAGGAACATGGGCTATGTGACTGTCATGTGCCCGAGTCGCTTGTAATCAATCTTGTCTAGTTGCACCAGGGGACGTAGTTGGTCAGCAAACGCACGCATGTCTTCACCGATTGCATCTTGCCCTTGAGGAGCCAGGACCTGAAAATGTGCAAGTTGCAGTGTGTTACAAACAATCCTACCCTTTCAACCTTAACAAATTTAAGAATGGTATTGGGAAAGTAGCAAAATTATAATTATTATTTTACTCAATGTTAGCTATGTAGGTAGTTTAAACACATTTGAAGACATTTCAAGAAAACAATGCAACGTTTGAATACTTACAGATAATTCTACCAGGTAGCTTTGTGAAATGGGTTCAGGAGGCATTGAGCTCTGAGATGTTTTGAAAACCTTAGCAACAGTAATTTTCATACGCCCCTTTCGGAACATATATCCTGTAAACAGATAAGAAGCACAATTAAATAACATTGTTTAAAAATAGTATCAACTGAATTAAAAGCTATATTATTTTTATAACACAAAAAATGTTCTTAGATAAACTTGCTAAATGTGAAGTTTAGTTTAAGTTACGTTTAATGTGTATTATCATACATTTTTGCAATTTAATACCTTTGACACTGTATTCAAATTCCACTCTACAACCCAGTTCATTCAGAAATTCAATCAGCATGCCACTGCAAGCAATGTCCAGGCTTGAACGTACAACTGTTGGTCTGTTCTTGTCACCAAGATCAGGTTGTCCGATATATCGAAGTTGATAGGGCATGTCACGAGCATCAAGAGCCTTGCGGACACGCAACATTAGAGGTGCAGCCTGCAAAGAAAAATTTATTTAATTAATAACTTTAAAAAAAATATTATATGAGCCTCCTTAAAAACGCGGACGCCCGCACGCTGTTCTGTATCGAAAAAGCGCACGCGGGTGCCGCGGTCAGCACCCGCCTGCCAGGGGCGCGCGCAAGCCTCGGGCGTGCATTTCCATCCAAAAGGGAATCGTGCGAGTTTATACAGAGACACTGATGACATCCATGTACAGATACAACAACTTTGGTTATTAATACAGATTATCTAATTTACCTGTCCATTAGGATCCCGCAGGCTAAAGCAAATTTCTTGATCATCGAAAGTCTCTGGACCAGCATCTACATTGTCACAGAGTCCTCGAAGACGATGAAGTAATACTTCTACTGCTGAATCTAGCACGGAACCCTGAAATAAATTGTAGTATTAAATTTCAACAACAGCACGGAATTAGGTAAAAAAAATTGAAGCCTACCTTACCTGTAGTAAATATTCTTGGTTGGGTATGATGTTGGCCTTCAATGCCTGTGACAGGCTGTCCGTAGCAGTAATGGGTGCAGCATTTGCAGCTGCCATTGTAAGTCAGAATATCAGAGGACTATTACAACCAAAAACCTTAGACGAAAATAGAAACAACAACAAACATAGAAAGAAAACGAGAAACACTTGCAGCAAACACAGTCATAGACTAAAGCAAAGACTAAAGAGTAATATAACCCCCTTATTAGTAAAACTTACACGCTCGTTGATCAGTGTTTTAAAGTGACGTTTAGTATGGAAATCACAGATTAGAGAGTATGTTGGAAATGTCATTTTAAAACAGTGATCAACAACTGTGTAACTTTTTATTAGTAAGGGGGTAAGTCTTTGGAGTAATAGACTAGAAAGACAGCCACAGACTAGAGAGTCGTGTCAAAATGAAAATGCCAAAGATTATGTAATTCTAGGATAGGTCGCGCAGCGAAAGTTGTGGCCAACAAGTAGTACTTATGTATAGCCTGACCAGTGGGTCTAGACAAAGTGCACATTTTAATCGCAAACCAGTCGAAAAGTGGTCGAAAAGCCCCTTTTTTGTATGGAGTTTTGACGGATTCGATTTTCGATTCGATCAAAAAGTGCGTTTTGTCTAGGGGGGCAGGAACATAAAAACCCTCGCCATGTTGCGGAAAATTAATGGTACTAATTTCTTTTAATGGCAACAGTATAGTTCCAAAATACTGAACTGTCCTATCGATGACATTGACAGCGGGGCGCCACCGTCAATACCGAATCGCTGGTTCCGATTTTTGCCATGTTGGAAACCATAAAGTTGAGCGATGGTAGCGCCCTCCTGTCATTGAGTTTGGCGGGACAGTTCAGCGTGGGTCATTTATAACTGTGGGTCTAGACAAAGTGCAAATTATAATCGCAAACCAGTCGATAAGTGGTCGAAAAGCCCCTTTTTTGTATGGAGTTTTGACGGATTCGATTTTCGATTCGATCAAAAAGTGCGTTTTGTCTAGGGGGGCTGAAAACTTCATTGACATGTCACCTTGCATGTCAGTCTGTCAGTCTATTGTTGTCAAAGTGTAAACAAACTTTATTTTAAATGTGCGCAATTGATTTTGTGAATTAAATTGCTAAAATCTTTTTATAGTCGTGAAAGAAAAGTGGTGCACAATGTGTTAAAGTATTTGTCGAAGAGAAATACTAAGGGTTCGGACAATATTTTCATTGAATAATGTTTCCGACAAAGGATGTCAAATTGACTGACATGTTTATCGTATAGTACAGTCAACTATGAAAATTAGCTGTGGTTTGTTTCAACTACCTATTTTAAAGTTTTTTGTCACTATGTAAGTGTTGAATTTTATGGAATTGGGAAAGAAGTACCGAGTTTGAAGCGTTCATAAGCAGACATTGTAGTTGAATATTCAAGTTCAGAATTTAATTATTGATGAATAATAATAAAATCCTAATTGCTCGATTGATGGTTTCATTTAATTTATTTAAACAAGTTTAAACAATTTATTTAAACGGTTGTGGGACGAGCCTGTCTGCAGAGTAGTGCGGGATAATTTACTTCAAACGTCTACCAACTCTGCAGACCGCGCTCGTCTCCTAGCCGTGGCTGAATGGGAATCAGGCCTTTGGCTGAAATCCCTACCCTCTCCTGCCCTTGGCACTCTGATAGACAACATTTCGTTCAGAGTGGCCATTAGTCTCCGCTTGGGGGCTCCTTGTTCTGTTCCTCATCGCTGCTCTTGTGGGAAGGATGTTGATCAACTTGCTCACCACGGTCTTTCCTGTAACAGAAGTGCTGGCCGAATCCCTCGTCACGCTGGTTTGAACGACGTCATTCGCCGGGCGCTTGTCAGCGCTCGTATTCCGGCCATCCTTGAACCGAGCGGCCTGTCTCGAAGCGATGGGAAGCGTCCGGATGGAATGACGCTTGTTCCCTGGGAGATGGGGAGGCCTTTAGTGTGGGACGCCACTTGCGTTGACACTTTAGCGCCCTCCCATCTTCCTACTACCGGCGTCAAGGTGGGTTCGGCTGCTGCTTCTGCAGAGGACCTCAAGCGGCGCAAATATGTAAATCTCAATGAGACTTACATATTTGAGCCGTTTGGAGTTGAAACTCTGGGCCCGTGGGGACCAAGCGCCCACAAACTGTTTCGTAAGATATCTCAGCGCTTAGTTGAGACATCTTACGATACAAAGGCTGGCCTTTACCTCGGCCAACGCATCAGCCTTGCCATCCAGCGTGGCAATGTGGCCAGCCTTTTGGGCACCTTCCCCCAAGGTAGCGATTTAGATGAAATTTTTTATTTATAAAGCTTGTATATACATAATTTTAATTTTTACCCTTTTTTTATTTAGTTATAGTTTAGTTTAGTAGTTATTTGTTACCATTTTGTTGTATATATGTATGTATAGATTATTGTTAGACTTAAATAAATTCAAAAAAAATCATAGTTTACCTATAATATAATATTTTTTGTTAATTTATAAAAATATTAAATTAGCCCATAATCCTGAATCCTGATACATAAAGTTAGCCTATTAATTTAATACAGGTACGACTGTACCCAGTGTTGCACTATCAAATGCAATTGACGCGCCTCTATGCCAGGTTTTTTATGTTCCTGGTCAGGCTATACACTGATGTAATATTTTAATACAAAAAACAAAGAACACAATAGTCACATTACGCATTAAGTTCAAATATCGAATTCATTTTATTAGGTTAGGTAACCTATTTTTTGTTAAATTGTCTACAAATGAGACGACAAAAAGTCGACTCCACAGTCGACTACAGCTACGCTAGCTTCAGATCTTTAAAAGTAAAAGGTGTTATTGGCCTCAACTCTCATTGAGCGCTCTTTAATTTTTTCATCGTATCAGTATCGTATCTTAGAAATCAATATACATCCTTGACCCTGAATGCATCATCGGCACAACACTAGGGCGATTTGTCTATGGTTTTTTTTATAACTGTCATCAATGTCATTTTTTTTACACTGTCAGTCCATCACTGTCAATGTCATTCTATTTCTTGAAATGTTTGTTGTTGTTGAATTATTTTTCGGTATTTGAGAGAAAAGATAAAGAAAAGTGATCAAAATGACCGGCCACGTTTCTATTAGACTAGCATCCGAACGAGTTAATCATTGTGTTGCTTCCAGTAATGAGTTGCCTAGATTTTATACACCTGGAGAGGTTATAACGGGCATGCAAGACTTTATGCGGTAAGGTATTTAGTTTGGTCGCATTTATTCAATGTTACAACTTTTTCTGCTTTTGAAATCATAAAGAGATAAGTTCATATTATAGGTATCATGTCTGATTTATTTTGATAAACAAATTTCAGTGGTCATGGAACTTATGCTGAAGATGATTCTCTGAAGGCTTCCGTAGCGGGTGTGATGCAAAAAGTTAACAAGTTGATTTGCATTCGTCCGTTGAAGAGTCGATATGTGGGTGAAATAGGAGATGTGGTGGTGGGCAGGGTTCTTGAAGTACAGCAGCGACGGTGGAAGATCGAGACTAACTCCAGACTTGACTCAGTTCTCCAGTTATCAGCTGTCAATCTACCTGGTGGTGAATTGGTGTGTGGAAGTTTTCCCATCATGAAATTACTTGTTCCCATAGTCATTGTATAATTTATTAAATGTCAGTGACAATATCTCCCTCTCTACTGACAGCCTATTGATTTATATATTTTTAAAATAACTTGAAAAAATAAAACTGCCTAAGGTGGTAATTGAACCCACGATCTTCTGCTTGCTGGGCGACTGCTCTTCCATCTGAGCTAAATAGACACTGAATAAACTTGTCGAAATATTCTAGTCTAATTTATGTTTCAGCGCCGGAGATCAGCTGAAGATGAACAGATGATGAGGAAACACTTGCAGGAAGGTGATCTCATCAGCGCAGAGGTCCAGAGTGTGTTCTCTGATGGGTCCTTGTCATTACATACCCGAAGCTTAAAGTATGGAAAGGTAGCTTTTGATTTTATTTCTTGTCTGTCGTTGAAGTTTTCCTTTTTTTAGATTAGTTTAGATTTTTTTTAAACTTTAATTTTAAAGTTTCTACTGAGGATACAACTAATAATATTATGTGGTGTTATTTGCAGCTGTCACAAGGCACATTGATAAAAGTGTTCCCATCATTGGTAAAGAGGAGGAAAAATCATTTTCACAATCTACCTTGTGGTGTATCAATTATCATTGGTAATAATGGCTTTATTTGGATAAGCCCACTAAAACATGATGTTATACCTGAAGGAAATAAAGATGAAATTGCTGATTATGAATTACAGGTAAATAATGTTTATATTATAAGTATGAATTTTCATTAGATGTTGTTTGTAAGACATTTTGACCATTGGGCATTAATATTATTTCTATGTTCTTGTAAATATGATTAATTTTTTTTTTCAGCCTGTGGATAGGTCAGATAGAGAAGCAATGGCCAGAGTGAAGAACTGCATTGCAGCTTTGGTTGCATCCAAGATGATGCTGGACGATACTAGTATAATGTTTGCTTATGAAGAAAGCCTGAAATATGATGCAGTGAAAGATCTGCTGGATCCTGAAGCAATGTTAGATATTGCCTTTTTAACACAGCATAGAATAAACAATATAATGGAAGACTAACAATTTGTTTAAGTTATCAAAGTTCCAAATGCAGCGTATTACCAGGTAAGTTAAAATTCTTTTGTATCAGCGCATTGATTTTATTATAACAAAAGTACTTATAAATTGCCAAACATGAAAATGCATTTTTATTAAAAGCACAAATATCGGTATATTATCAAAATACACTTTCATATAAAAACAATTATTTACATAAAATTGTGAAATCACAAAGGTATATTGCTCAAAACTCTAATATTATTGTATACTTATTACATAATTAATTTCTATAATTCTATTTTTGGCATAGAGTGTGTTAAAAGTAGAATCTATAAACTATCATATAAATTGAGTTATCATAAAATACTGTATAAGAATCTAAAATTATGTTCATGTACTTCAATCTCAGAGGTACTTTTTGAACGGTTCACAAATAACCAAAAAAGAATAAGTTATTTGCATGTATTTCTTAGTACATACTAGACTTCTGATTTGTTGATTTAATTTACTTTTTACAATATTAAATAAAACTTAATATTTGTGTGATAAAATATTGTGGCACTCAAAACTTTTTTCTGAAGTATTTGGCACTTGTTCTATTCTATTTTGTTCCTCTTTCCAAGTATTCGCATCAGGTTTTTGGACATGAAGTATGGTTTCTCTGGAGATCCATCATTTCTTTCACAGTCTTCCACTGTAAAAAAAAAACATATTTTAGTTGTAATACATAGAGAGTATGCTCTACATAAATTTTAAAATAAAAAAAGCAATAATGCTTTATTTGTTAATGCAATATTGCATCATGATTGTGATCTAAAGCATTTTATTTAAATACAAAAATTCTAGTTGTCATAATCAAGAAAACTAAGTACCTATGTACATCATTTCCATTCCACACAAGAGCATGATGTCAACTATGATTTGACTAGGAATAAATAAATAAATAGCCTTGGACATTTTACACTACGCTTCTAGTCCCAAACTAAGAAAAACTTGTACTATGGGTACTAGACAAACAAACAAATAAGAATTAAACTTCCGCCAAATACGGTAATTTATCTTGTCACTATGAATCTGATAAAGTAAATAATTTTTCTTACGGAAACAGAGGAACAATGTGTCTACTGCCATAGAGTATACACTGAAGAATATAGTACTGATGAGGTATGTGGCTATGCTCAATATGATGGCTGGAATGTAGTTGTAGTGGAGCCGCTCGCCCTGCGTCACCTCGTACACGTAGTTCCACTGCAGGAGGTAGTACACGGCGAAGCCGACGCCGATTGAGATCACCAGTTTTGACAAAAAGAATATGAAGTCTGTGACCTAAAAGGAAAACATGTGTAATAAATTATTCATATTATGCAAATAGAGGATATCGTGTCAGTGTAACGCATTTACCTTGTCTAAGACCACAACTCTTATGATATTCCTCATTAGCAACGAAAATGCATCTCGCGCACTCTTACAGAAGTTTTTCCCGTGTACAGCGCACATAATATACGCATTCTTATTAATAAACTTGAGGAAATTTTCCAAGCACCAGAAGAAACATTTGCAGCAGCATAGGACGCAACGAGTGAAAGGATTGTCGAATTTCTTCAGTTTGTGGTCGATGTACTCTAGTATGACACGGATGATTCGTACTATTGCTATGATCAGCGCACCCAATGCCACTGTACCCAAGTGGTAGCTGGAAAACAAAATTCATATGTTATTATTACTATGTGGCACTGTACATGGCAATTGGCGTAAAAATTCGTAAACGGTTGGCAGTAAAACGCCAGATTTTCGAATATCAGAACAAAAATTACCGCAATGTCCTACAGATCCCAGCTGTGAGCGTGAAGAATGGAAGGTCTTTCTTATGGAACGTCCAGTACCATGTGGAGAAAGTGCTCGCGAGCATCATGTCCGACACGCCGCTGATGAAGAACATCGTCCAAAAGAATCCCAACAAATTGGCAACTGTAAAAAAAGAATAATACTATAAGTAACTTAATTAAGCCGACAAAATATTGAGGAAAATCATGATAGAATAGTTTTTGCAAGGAATAAAAATGAGCAAAGCAAAGGCGGAGCTCTATGTTGAACCCAGAAATCTAATTAAAGCTTCCAATATTACACATGTATATTATAACAGAACTTACGATGCAAATATACGACGCTCGTAGGACCGTCCAGGCCGGTGAAATGGCAGGTGGCGAGACTGCAAGCGTGGCCACTGGCGTCGCTGCAGCTTATGCTGAATTGCAGTGGATTGCATGAGACGTAATCCTAGAAATAAGCCTCATCAATAAAAGATAATCATGGACGAAATAATCAGCTATAGATATTTAAAGATACAAACTTCCGTGTATACTCCTTTGCAGTTGCAATTGGTATCATTTTTGAGGTTCACAATACGGAAAGCAGATTCTCCCATTGACATGATATACATGAGCACGATTACTCCGTATGCAATGACGGCGCACTGCAGAATGCAAGGCAGTATTGGGAAGAATACCGTAGTTTTGATAGATATTATGGCCCTGAAAGTTAAGAAGAAATATTGAAATAACAAATTGAAATGTTTAACCAACACAGTTACTTTACTATTCAATAAATCGACTACTTACTTGCTTCCTTCACGTATAAGGGCTATAGCTATTGTGATTCGCTTCCTCAAAAATATGACCAATAGTAACAGTATGACGAGTACAACTGCAATGATTACAAGAAGGACCATCCACGTCTCCTGTTTTGTCAACAAGGATTCCGCGTAGCCCTTGATGTTGGTGGTCTGGTGGAGGCTAACAGGGTTTGCGCGATAATATGCGTAGTTCTGGTAACACAGATATAATGCTGCAAAGACAACAACAACAATTTAGCTCTGTTATTTGACGAGAGGTTTTATAACAGAAGAGTCTAAAAAAGGCAATAATTTGAATACTTACAAAAACCAAGTGCCCCATGAAGGGCAGCTATGGATGCCCAGACCACGGGGGTGACCACCCAGCGTAACAGCAGAATGTAGACGAAGCAGATGACGACCACGGCCACCAGCGCGCCTGCCATGTACCAGCGGGACTGCACCAAGTCCTGTACTATCTGCGACGACAGCTGCACACGCAAAATACACCTTTATGTGTATACTTTCACCATTTACTAATAAATTCAATTTCCAATGCATAAGGTTAAGTGCATTAGTTATTATAAGTTTAATAACTGTACAAAGTTTACAGGTTAGCTTAGTAGGTACTTGTGTTGTGTTAGTACTGTTAGTGCATATCAGAATACAAGTTGTGGGGATCAGCTCGGAGTGCAAGTAAGTCGTGTAGGTGTCTCAACCTATATCAGTAGACGGCCTTTTAGTTAATTTCACACTACGTTATCCGAGGGAGTTCAATATAATTTAATCTCTTTGGAAATGAAGGTCAGCCATGGGCTGATGTGGTATAAATATTATATTCAACTGCTACTCTACTACAAAGAATATTTTATCTAAATCTAAATAGAGTTCTAATGACACGAGTCATTATTGAAAACGACAGTACTTCCTACTGTTACTGATAGAGAAAGAAACTATAAGATGACTGTTGCAACTGCATGCATTACTTGCATCGACCACTATGGAATATCAGGATACAATGATCCTCATGCATTAATAAATCTGTCCTTATTAACTCTACTGATTGAGAATTACTATTCAAGTTATTTTTACGGAAATAGTAGGCGCGAATGGTTCGCGCAATCGACTAAGTAATTTAATTACGCAAATTACTCTACCTGATCGAAATTTACTAGACCGCTGATCTGATTTGCCACCTCTTGTGTGCTGAGTCCAAGAGCTTCGGTTGCCTCTCGGATTGTGTCCACCACCTCGATGGCTTCGGTGACGTTCATGATCAAACACCTTCCCACGACTGCTCCGCGCACCAGACATGCATATCCATGGCAGCATTAGTATTGTGTACATATTTATAACGGTATTGCACATTTAAATATTAAAGTTTAGATTAGCAAGTAGGTATATTATTTCCGGTCTGGTGATAACTTCTGTTAGCTATAACTAATTTGTGAACTTTAAAAAGTCCATAACATTCTGTATGAAGGCTTACTAATCCAAACTTTGGTTATTGCTTTGATGGTTTATACACAGGACATAATCTACATAAATGATTACATAGGTGCTTCAGGCATTACACCAACACACGATGCATAGAGTCGTACTTTTCCAATGTTATTATAAGTCATTGGACGTAGACATGCTAGAAGGGGGTTAATAAAGCACGGAAATGCACTAAGCGGTTACGCGTGCGAAGTAAACGTGCGACGTACGACATGGGTGTCACGTTCGTTCCTGGTGAAGAAGGTCACCCAGCTCGCCGCGATCCAGCCCACGTACGAGTCAAGGGCGGTGGCGCTGTTAAGTAGCGTCTCCTGCGCCACCTTCGGGTTCCTCACGCACGTCTCGCCCGCCCGACTCGAGGCCCACGGACTGGCCGTGGTGCTCGCGGTCCTCTTACATTGAGGCATAGTCGAAAGGTCGCCGATGCAGCGGGACAAAACTGAAGTTACACACTGACGTCTAATTGGGTACACTCAACACAATCGGGCGTTATACTCAAATCTTGACATGCCACACAAAAACATCCTTCAGCATCGCTATTAGTGGTTTAAAACGTCTTTCCAATTAACTACCATCATCGTCCTTATAATTTCAATTTTCAATCAACACTGATAAGTAGTTTTTCAATATCTTACCTGGTGTGCTTCGCAGAACATAACTGGCGCATTTTTCGTCCCTCATATAGTCTCTAGCTTGGCTGTAGGTCATGTCGTTTATGTTTACTTCATCGGTGCAGACCATGTACTGTTTCAAAGAAGGGAACGTCGCCTCTGTCATCTCGGTCTCGAAGATTACTGTTTTAGACGGGCATTCCTTTACACACACCTGTAACAATTGATAAAATCTTAGAAGAATTTCGCAAAAGAAAAATAGAAGGCTTTATGTGGAGACGTCCAATAACATAATGTAGAGTCTGGCTTACAAACCATCCAGTTTTCTCACTGTGGAAAGATACCATCGTTAACTACGGTGATGTAATTATAATAATTAATGTTGATTTACTTGCCTGTTGAGTAGGACAACCAGTGATGGGCGTCCCGGGTTGCAGGCATCTCGCTATGTTAAAAAATACCAAGTTTTTCTTATCCACCAGACCCGAGTCCAGTCCACAGCGACGGCCCTTGGTGTCGATTGGGGCTAGTAACTTCTGGACGTCGCCGTTTTTTATACCTGTTTGTAGACAAAAATGTACAATTCAATTACAGTACTAAGTGGCAGTTACAAGGCCGAATTTCTATTAATAACATTTTTACGATCATCGTTTAATGTTTAATATCCGGTTAAACGCACAGCACCGTAAAGTATATCTAATACTACTGTACTACTAAAATTAGTATCGACTAGAACTAGAAACCACGTTTAGTTTACTCACCGTAGTAGCCGACGAAACCCCATACTCCGAGAAAGAGTAAGAAAAGTATGAGCCAGAATATATCTGTGCAGGACCTATTGTGGATAGGCCCTTTGAAGTCTGGATCGTATTTTATCGGCTCCCCTGTAACAAAGAAAAATATTATAAATCGAGTATAAAGAAGAACGGTCACGCCTCATACAAAAAAAACCCAGACCCGACAGAAACGAGACATACCTCAATTTTTTTGTCATGTCTTAATTAGTTAAATTATATATTTTTTAAATTCGAAATCTATGTAATAACAACAAAATATTACCCTTTGTTTTTGTTCAGGCGTTATACAAAAACTAATACAAAATACCTATTTATCACCAAAATTGGTAAATGTATGTACCTAAATGTCTATTACAGCTGCTATGGAATGTATTTAGGTGACCTGGAGATACAGCCGGATTATACAGGGTAGAAACGAGAAGTTACAAAATCCAAAAATTCAATGTTACCAGCTTCCATAATCTGTAACCTATTAATGGTACTATTTGAAAAAGCTCGTGAAGCACTTTCAGAAACAGTAACTAGTTTTTCGATATCTTGTATAGTTTAGAAATAATCGAGTAGATCACTTATCGTTTCCACCCTGTATAATCCGGCTATATCTCCAGGTCACCTAGATACATTCCATAGCAGCTGTAATAGACATTTAGGTAGATACATACATTTACCAATTTTGGTGATAAATAGGCATTTTGTATTAGTTTTTGTATAACGCCTGAACAAAAACCAAGGGTAATATTTTGGTGTTATACATAGATTTCGAATATATATAATATACAGGGTGTCCCAAAAACAATGGATAACCCTGTAACCATCTATAGGTCTCGCCATGGTCTCCCTAACGTCCAATTTTGACCCCAGTAAAAATATCACCGTTTTCAAGATTTTTAAGTTTTTGTGCATTTTTAGAAAATTGCCACCTGCGATTACTTTTTCTCACGCCATTTCTACAAATGAGGATACTTTTCAATCTAGTTTTTTTCCTTATCACAAGGGATAGTTGGGCTATCAAAAGAAAATATTAAAGTTCAACAAACTAGTTTAAAAGTATGAAAATTTTAAGAAATTGCAGAAAAAAAGGAAAAATTGATTCATTGTCTTGCACTTTTGATCAGCCATCGTGTAAAAAAAATGTAGGAAGACCATCGTGCCCATTACCTTAAAAACTTCCTTGGTTAATTGAGATTCTAAAAAGGTATCACAAGCCTATGTATTCTGTATTATTTTTATCTTATGGCTATTTGAATAGCAACTAGTATGAAAACTGCAAAAATGAGTTTTTTTCGTAATAGTTAAACTAGGACTGCATAGTGGCATTAAATACAAATGGATAATTTTTAGCGTAGGAATTTTAATAAAGCAACATTTTATCATCATTATCATCATCATTTCAGCCATAGGACGTCCACTGCTGAACATAGGCCTGTACCCCAATGATTTTCATAATGACCGCTTGGTAGCGGCCGGAATCCAGCACCTTCCTGCTTACCTTTTCATAAAGGACGACCTCATGGTCGTCGGTCCACTTTGTAGGTGGACGTCCTACGATGCGCTTTCCGGTACGTAGCCTAGCCTCCACTTGAACCCTGTTGCCCCATTGGCCGTCCGTTCTGCGTTTTTGTGATTACTTAATTTTTGTTTTACACTTTATAAATGTGCCTATAGACAGATACTCGTGATGATACACGGCTCGGAAACGTGGATTTTTTGCACAGCGTGTTATGGAAGGGGCTATGCTCGGGTTTCTTTACGAAACCGTATCAGAAATTAGGAGACCTGTAAACGAACTAAAGTCGCTGACATAGCCCGACGGATCAGCAAGCTGAAGTGGCAAAGGGCAAGGCACAGTAGTTTGCCGAACTGAGGCAGCAGGGTTCAAGTGGAGGCTACGTATCGGAGAGCGCATCGTAGGACGTCCACCTACAAAGTGGACCGACGACCTCATAAAGATAAGCAGGAAGGTGCTGTATGCAGGCCGCTACCAAGCGGTCATTATGAAAATCATTAGGGTGCAGGCCTATGTTCAGCAATGGACGTCCTATGGCTGAAATGATGATGATGATAAAATGTTGCTTTATTTAAATTGCAACGCTAAAAATTATCCATTTGTATTTAATGCCACTATCCAGTCATAGTTTAACTATTACGAGAAAAATTCATTTTTGTAGTTTTCATACTAGTTGCTATTCAAGTAGCCATAAGATAAAAATAATACAGAATACATAGGCTTGTGATACCTTTTTAGAATCTCAATTAACCAAGGAAGTTTTTAAGGTAATGGGCACAATGGTCTTCCTACATTTTTTTTACACGATGGCTGATCAAAAGTGCAAGACAATGAATTAATTTTTCCTTCTTCTCTGCAATTTCTTAAAATTGTCATACTTTTAAACTAGTTTGTTGAACTTTAATGTTTTCTTTTGATAGCCCAACTATCCCTTGTGATAAGGAAAAAAACTAGATTGAAAAGTATCCTCATTTGTAGAAATGGCATGAGAAAAAGTAATCGCAGGTGGCAATTTTCTAAAAATGCACAAAAACTTAAAAATCTTGAAAACGGTGATATTTTTACTGGGGTCAAAAATGGACGTTAGGGAGATCATGGCGAGGCCTATAGATGGTTACAGGGTTATCCATTGTTTTTGGGACACCCTGTATAATTTAACTAATTAGGACATGACAAAAAAACTGAGGTATGTCTCGTTTCTGTCGGGCCTGGGTCACAGATGACCGTTCTTCTTTGTAATTAATACTACGATAATAATAACAATTAAGTTACACTAGTCTAGGTATTATGTGCCCATATCGGGTGTACATATGTAGGAAAAATATTATTTTCCATTATTCTTTTGATATTTTATTTTATTAATGACCTGCACGGCAACTGTAGGTATATGATATCACTCTTATGGATATGTAATAATTTATAGTTATTTAAACTTTTCTAGATATGCCTCTGCATTCATACCGGTAAGAAAGAAGAAATGTTTATTCAGTATCATCGACAATACACATAAACCAAAAGTAGGTGAGGTTAGCCGACTTAAAAAAATAAACTCACTAGATTCTTTCGGCGGAACACAGCAATCCCCACAACACCCCATAATGTATCTCCTTGAAGTTCACAATTTCACATAATTTGTACGTTTTACTTATTTCTGAAGATATATTTTGCCATTGAATACACACAATAACCAATCAATTTACAACATCTACGTTCTGTATCAGATACTAGAATTTGCTTGGTTGTTATCAGCTTGATATTTTTGATAACAGAGTTTACATACGAAAATGAATAACCATTGCATTGGTTTCCTAAAATGCGTTGCCTACTTGAAACCATAATAGATAGGTAATATTATTTATTTGTCATTATTAGAATCGGTCTATTTTGATATTTGTCTCTAATATTTTTTATTCAGACAACAAATAATTTACGACGCTACTGCAAGTTTTCAATGCTTTTTCATTTCATCACTAGTATCTACTACCTACAGCATAGAGTGAGAAGAAGAAGAAAAATAAAGCTTCAGGAGAGTCAGTTGCTTTCTAATTTTTCTATCTAAAAGCTCCATCAGTAAGTGCTAGGGTTTCTGATTTCTCGACCTATTTTTTTTCTCGAGTTTCGAGAATTCTCGAGGCCAAAGTCTCGAGTTTTCTCGGGTCTCGAGTCTTTTAATGAAAACTGCTGAAATCGGTTGAAATTTAATAAAAACACAGGTTTTTTTGATCTAATATACCTACTTTTATGCACAACAATCAATATTAGAATTTAGTACCACTTATTTTGGTAAGGAAATATGTATACAAAAAATAAAATCTTCCTTCATAATTAATATTTACTAATAATAATAACAAAAGTCATAAAGTCGCGTGCACTTTAAGGATAAATAACAATAGGAGCTACAATTGAATCACTTGTTTTCTTAAGAACACAAGTCCAAATAGCAAAATTACGATAAATAGTTTTTTTTATGAACAAAATATTTTTTAAAGTTTCTTACAGATAACGACTTGAATTAACTTTACGAGGAGGCACGAGTACCTAACCTAACGTCTGTTAGGTAAGGTAAATGTCTAGTTAACAATTTTTTCAGTCTTTAAATCAGTTAGATTAAATAGGTACATAATAAATATAGCATACTCGTTGGTGAACATCCTACTTAGAGATAATTACTTGCAAATCAAATCAGTTAAAAAAGGAAAGACTAGGCCAGTCTAAAAGCAACGTTGACCTATTAAATAATTAAAAACTTAACTTTTGTCTAAGAAAATAGGCTTTCAAGAATATTAAAGCTTCAAAATCGAAACTCGAGAATTCTCGAGCTTCGGTAATTTTTTTCTCGTCTCGAATGAAGCCAAATTTCTCGAGTTTTCTCGAGTTCGAGAAAGCTCGAGCAGAAACCCTAGTGCTACTTCAGACGTAGCTTTGTATGAAGAGTTGTATTGTTGTTAATATTAATGCACTGAAAACTCGGCTGCACTGGACAGTGTAGACATATTACTACCAAGCTATATCTTATCGCGTTTTAAAAGATTGCTGGTCTAATTTAATCCGAGCGCATGAGCAATTAATTTTACCTAGTTTTAGCTTTAATGCAAGTCCTCCTTTCAGTTAATATTATATACTAGCGGCCGCCCGCGACTTCGTACGCTTGGATCCCGTTTTACCCCCTTCATCTATCTTACGCGGTTTAGAATTTTTCATACAAATGTTTTTTCCCGCAAACTCCCGTTCCCGTGGGAATTTCGGGAATTCCTTGTTGTAACTAAGATTTAAGTTTACTAAGGTACCTACCTACATGCCAAATTTAAAGCGTCGTAACTTAAGCGGTTTAGATTTTTTATACAAAAGGATTTTCCCGCTAATTCCTGTTCCCGTGGGAATTCCTAAGTATACTATAACCTGCCCAGGAGTATGAAGAATATTTGTACCAAGTTTCGTTAAAATCCGTCGAGTAGTTTTTGTTTCTATAAGGAACATACAGACGGACAGACAGACAGACAGACAAAAATTTTACTGATTGCATTTTTGGCATCAGTATCGATCACTAATCCCCCTGATAGTTATTTTGAAAATATATTTC